GTCTAATCACAATAAAATATTTTATTGAGTATTAAAATATTATTACTACAATTAATATTTAATATTTAAAATATATTAAAATATTAAAATAATGCTCTTTCTATCGAAATGTTAAATATTAGTCTCCTGATCTTGATGTAATGTGGAAATCTTGTTGAAGGGTCGGCCTAGAAATACGTAGGCTCCTGACTTTGTAATTGTCTCCATTCTCCAGTCACTTCCTTTCTCTTGGGATCAAACACTCTCAGTCTACATTCCTCTTTTTAAAATGAGAGATCAGGTTTTGCACCCATGCAAAACGAAAGTCATCCAGGAGACACAAATTAGTGCTTACACAACGATTCGAGTCCGAACTGCGGAAACACAACTTTGGATGCGAGATTGTAACAATTTTAAAGACAATTCAACCAGCCCAGGAACTGGTTCGTTTAAGTAAATTGTAAATCTGGATTAATACACCCCAAATTAACCTGACTCGGTCACTCATTACAAACGTCTCTCACTGACTTCGTTAATTACGTTTCAAGTACTTAAAATTCCTACTAATTCTTAATAGTGTGGAGTACATCCAACATAATCTGTAAACGACTGTTTCAATTCTTGAGAATTTCAGTATATGGTTTAAAAAATATTTGGAAAATAAAATGATTTAGGTATACTTGATAGATCCTGATTTTCAAGAAATTGTAACGAATTAAAATTAATTTTCTCTCTAATGTGACAATTAATGCCTAGGTTTTTTTCTCTGATGACAAAATAGCAGCAGAAGTGAAATTTTCAAAATAATACGAACCAAGGATAATGAGAACACAAATAAGCTTCGCATACTGTACCTTGAACCCACATATTAATATTACATGTGCATAGAACTTTCCAAAGGGCAGAAACGTCACATGAATTTGTACTTCGGTAGTTAATAATAATAATAAGAAGAATATTCTCCATGGAAATAAGGAACCGTTAGTTAATAACGTTCTAAGAAACGATTTAAATTCACAGCTAACAGAAATTTGCTTTAAAATTCATACTTTGTACAAGTAAGATTCCTGTACGAGAACTCAGAGACCAGCTTATAACAATATATATATATATATATATATATGCTGGATTGTGATTCCGTCTTCAGATTGAATCACGTAAGCCAGATGCTTCAGTTTTATAATTTTATCATTTAGGCAATGCACACAGAGTTTAAAAGAACAAGGCATCACCGTCAGAAATCTTCAGACTTCGACGGCCATTTCAAATTATATCCTTCTGGTTACAACAGACTACATAATCCACTTTTGTTCTCACGCTGAACATTGTGACGGAGAAGAAATACAATGACAAAAGAAACACAGTAACATTTACAATTTTTATAAACATTACCAAGAGGAATAATAATAATAATAATAATACAAACTCACCCTGGAGGTTGTTGGAGGTAACGGACTGCAGACTGGAGGATAATTCATGATCCCAATCCGTGGAGTCTCCTCCCATCCTGGCCTCTGCAAAACGCACGTACGGGCGTGTTATTACAAGATCTGAATACGTCAAGATGACTTATCGACGGCTTTTTCGTCCGTCAAGATGACGGCTTCTTCGTCTTGTAGCCATACTTTAGCAATTCAAAAGTCTCTCCCCTCAATCGGACAACTGACGATAACACACATCATTTACATAAGTAATGTTTCTGACTGTGGTTCTTAGTACAAATAAATATCAAGAATTATTAAGCATGATGACACGTGATAGGCGTCACATCCGTAGCCATGACTGCTCAGTGTCTATTTTAATTCTGAAAGCTAACAGTAAAATAATAGGTCATAGACTTAATATTTAATATATCAGAAGGTTGTGACTTCGTTCCTGAAGCTGATTTCAGCAAAAAGATAATTACCAAACCCTTTGAAACCAGAGCTCATCTAACTAATACTTAAGGAATCAGGCCGTACCGCGAAGAAAACACGACACTTCACCATTACAAAGAGCAACCTTTTAAAGGAATAATGTGTGTTTATTTTGACAATCTTTTAGGTACACGATGCGGACAAAATACGGAGTTTAGTGAGCTTGTGGTACATATAGTTACCACTGTGCTTTAAAGGTGTAAAGGACTAGAATGTGAAAATCGGTGTTGTATTTAACTGAGTCCAAGGAGCGTCTTTTTTTTTAAAGCGGTTAATATTTAAAGGAACTGTTTGGTGAGGTCCGGCAACATGGCACAACTGAATGCTGTCCTGAGATTATAAACAAAGTACCAACATCATAATTCTATCCCTGGCGGACACCGTATTAATCGCGGGGACTAAACCTCGAGAAGGGCCCGGCCCTCCTCAACATTTAGGGAAATAAAGTAAAACATGTCGCACACTGCTCCTTTTGAATGAGGGTTCCTTGTTTGAAACTAGACGGAAGAAAATCCACACTAAAAATTCTGAAGTTTCAACGTCTAACGCAAATGATACACCTCGACTAACAAGGAATCATAACTGCACCAACGCTTCCCACTTATCTGAAAAAACAAACCTCATTTCACGCGAAACGAAGCAAAGAGTACAAGACGGCCCATATCTAAACTTTCTGTGGAATTACTGGGCCCCCTACTGAAACAAATCAACAAATGCTCACGTAAAACAAGTGATTTTGGTGTAGCGCAATCCCGATCTGAAATACGTTCAGTCCGGTCCGCACGATGCGCGTATGTTGAAATCTGGCAACGCTGAAGAAGGTCTGGCAGGTGCTGGTTAAAAGACTGAATCCTACGGGACGTATCTTTCTATTCCACTGAGGAAAAGAGAATCCCCTGAAAGAACTGAAAGCAAGAGAGAGAGGGGGAGGACCTTTGGGGGGACAACAAGGGGCAGTAAGCTCCAAAAGCAGCGATGGTCATTCGTGCTCTTTGAGGAACAGAATCTAAAGCTCTTCAGCTGAAATTCAGGCCACTGAATATACACACACAAATATTTATCAGTTCGATTACGTAACGCGATATTCAGACGCACTGAGCAAAGAAGTTCGTAAACTTGACTTCCGAAACGTCGCCATCTACCAACAAATTCGGACGGAGAACATCAAAATCGACATCTTCACAGCCTAGAATCTGGTGAGACGTTTTCTTTGCTACAGGGGCTGCATTTCAAAATATTATTCAGACGAGTGTTGGCTCCAGTGATATTCTTGCAGAAACAATTAATTCCACGTTCAAACAGCATGAATACAATGCAGAGGGGGGATTATGGACAACCCTGAACCACTGCATCAATGTGACAACGCAGATAGGAGTTATTTCTGTTCACACAAATTTTGCAATCGTGAACAGAATTACATTATTATTTTTCATTATTACATATACTGTTAAAGTGGTGATATATAGATAGATATATAGATTGCTAAACAAAACAAAAAATTAAAAATCAAGTTGCCATATTGGAAAGCAGCGGCCCCACACAAATGAAGCCATAGAAACACTTCTTACCTAATTCTTTCTTTTCTACTGTAGATAAATCTCCTCCTCCAAATATTTCCACAATATCTTCCCAGTTTCTTATTTTCAAGTCCCGGTTTGCGTATTCAATAGCAGATGAATCCCATAGTGATGGTCCATGTTTGAAAGAAGTAGAAATACACACAGACGACAATGGACTGGCCTCATGTCGTGTGATGTTGATTCGGCCTTCGCCGTGGCAGCGTTGCCAAGTTGGAGGCGCTGCAAGACGGATGCCAGATGCGATATATGTATATGACTACCAAATTAATAAATAATACACTTGAGTTTGGCCGAGATGCTCGCAGCTGCGCCATGGCCTCCCGTTGGTACCCTAGCGCGATACCACGCTTAACCCTTAACCCTTTGAAGCCGAAGCTCGTCTGAATATTATTTACGAATCCAGACCGTACCGCGAAGAAAACACTTCACTTAACCATTAGAAGTCGAATCAGGCGGTACCACATAAGATTTAACAAAAGAACATCCCGGTCAAAGCCTTAATACGCACAGCAAGTTCTCTCAAAGGGAATGGTTAGGTTGGTCGTGCCGAAATCTCACCTGAAATGTTGCTCGTCTACAGAGACCGTCTAGTAATGATTGTACACAAAATTTCAGCTGCTGATGCGAAAAAATTACTCAAAGTTGGTACGTATATTTAAAATTCGCTCCGCCGCGCATGCGCGAGACATCAGCGCGCCATTCACCGATATATTGCAGCTGAGCTCGAGGAGAAAGGTTGAAAGCAGGGAAATACTCCAGAAATCTCTCTCTCTCTCGCTCGCGTGTAATTAAAAGTAATATAAGTACAAAGGAACCACCTATATGTGCGTATTCTTTCTTATCTTTTTTTTACTATAAAAATTTGTGATTCCTCGTTGTCATCAAAAAATGACGTCATCAACAATGCCAACAGATATTTGTTTACTCGGCATTGTTGAGGAACACAATAATGCCGAGTAAACAAATATAACGCTTCACAACAAAGAAATGAAAAAATATCAAGCCAGTCGCACTATCACTGCTCCAGAAGGAGCACTTCGCATTCTTGAATATTGACTGACAGTTGACCTAAAACATCAGAAAAGTGAAAGAAGACGTTATCAACTATTTGAAGTATCAACTCTAACAACTCCAACAAGGTAAACTGATACTCATTCGATATATTACGATTACGAAAACTATTATGAAAACTGACTTTATGATCGATTTTAAGACGAATATTTGCAGGGGTGGGGCTGGACGTA